GGGATAAGCTCTGGCAGCTATGAGCCATTGGCTCCAAGGCTTCACTATAACTATGTTAGTTAATTATGAAAGTTATATGATTGTAATTGTTGTACATACTGTAATTTTCAAATTTGCAAAGACGCCATTAGGTTATGAGACACACACCTCTTCATCTTCAACATTCTATCACAATTACACCAATGATATGAAAAAAGATCAAGTTCAGCCTGGTTCAACTGCAACTTAGCACAAATCGATCTTTTATCAACTGAATCAAATCTGAGTATTTTAAAGTAGCAGTTAACTACAGTTTTTAGTTATAACTAATTTTCTGTTTAAATCTTTCTTTTCCCCTCTGCATGATAAGGTGTACTACAGAACGAATGTTAAAGAAAACAGAAGAGCACTGAAACTTCAAGCAATTCCGTGAGTTATTAGTAGCATTTAAGAAAATGTATTTACGCTTAGATGTTAGGAACACTTTATAAGGATGTGTAAAATATAAAAAATGACTACCATGAGAGTTTTGGACAGAAACCCAGAACAAAGTCATTGTAAAATCTTTTTGGCAAATTCCAAGCAATTGACTTGTTGTTTTTCCTAGGATTTCTCATGGATTTGAGCCACACCCACAAAGGCTAAACTCTTGCATGTTTTAGGGATTCCTGTAAAGTAAAGTAAAATAAAATAAAATAAAATAAAACGAAACCAAACGAAAGCAAAGCAACGCACCGCACCGCACCGCACCGCACAGCACCGCGCCGCGCCGCGCCGCGCCGCGCCGCACTGCACTGCACTGCACTGCACCATCTTGTCTTACCAGTAGCCTTTGATTTTGTCTCAGGCCATCTTGTTTCCACCATGTTCAGAACTGTTTGTAGCTGTTTCGGTTCAGGCTTTTCATAAATTTCTTTGAAGTGCTGGGGATCAATCTTCAGGACTGAGGAATCTTGCATGTCTTTTTTTTTTTTTGAACTTTAAACCCCTGCTCCAGAAATTTGCGCAGTTGCGCATCGTGCGCTGATTGCTTAAAAATCGTGTTTCTATGTAGCAGCTAGATTATGAGCTCGTGATTTCTATCGCGTAGTAGTTGACGCAGCCCGAGTCAACCTTTTCGCATAGAAATCGAGAGCGGATAATCTAATTGTTTTAGTATAAATCTATTAGTCGTTCAAAACTTTATCTTAATCCTCCTCACAGACACCTGGAAAGCGTAAAGAAGTGGCAGTCATTTTGTTAACAACTGCACACAGTTAGGCTACTCACTATCAACAACAATAGAAAGTGAGTAGCGTAGCCAATCAGAGAACAACATTCGTGATAGAACGCGAGTAGATGTATACTAAAACTAGAAAAAAACGCAGTACATGTTTTCTATTTCTTAAGAGAACATTTATCCTTTGTTTTTTACAGATGGTTTCATGGGACGATCACTAGAGACCAGGCTGAAGCACTACTTAGTCCGCATCAAGAGGGCTTGTTTCTGGTCAGAGATAATTTGCAGGGAGACTACACTATTTCTGTTTGGTAAATTATCCATAGTTTGAATAAAATGTTAAGATTGCATGCTTTGTTTCATCGTAAGTGTATTCCACATTAGTAGACATTCAGTGTGTTCTACAGGAAATTCGTGGATCTGATTGGGTCCCTCGTTGGTGTCTATTTACCGTCGGTTGATAGCACACAATTCCGCGTGTGTTTCGCTTGAACGGGAAAATTATCCTTGATTGTACATGTTGGCTATGCAGGCTAACAATTATACATCAAAGCATGGAAAGTAATCTTCCGTAAATTTGAAAAAAAAAAACATTTTGTAGGAAACATTTTTTTTAGTATATGGACGCATCTTACAAAACTCCAATTATATTCATGCGATCTTTAAAATTCTTTTTGACAGCCATGGCCGTGAGGTCGAACACTACAAAGTAAATCAAACAGATGACAGCAAACTCACGGTTGACGATAAGACTCATTTTGATTATCTTACACAACTTGTCAAGGTAGGTAGAGAAAACATATAGAATGGAGATTATTGCCACGGTAAAACTACCCGTAAAGAGGGCGGAGCTAGCTGGTGGCAGCATCCCACCTTGTCTACTCCCTCCGGGTACTATAAACCCAATCTCGGCCTTTAGGCAGGCTCTGACTCAAAAGCCCATTCTTAAATTAAAAGCATTATCACTAGTCTGGTTTGTATCGTTTCTGGCGCTTTCAGCTTCGGTAACAGCAGCCTTTTACCCTAGGGTCGCTAGTCTCCAACCTGGAGAAACAGTCGTCGCACTTAGTATAGTCTGCACCCTTTGACCTGTACGGTCTGTATCCTCCCGCTGGTATAGCTGCAGGGTTCACTGAGACACAAGTCTCTCCCTTCCCCGACCACAGCAAGGTGGCGAGATATCCTATACAATAACAGCAGCCTTTTACGCTAGGGTCGCTAGTCTCTAACCTGGAGGACCAGTCGTCGCACTTAGTACAGTCTGCACCTTTGACCTATACGGTCTGTATCCTCCCGCTGGTATAGCTGCAGGGGTTACTGAGACACAAGTATCCCCCTTCCCCGACCACAGCAAGGTGGCGAGATATCCTATACAGTAAGTAATTTTAGATGTAGCTGAAGTCATCTGAAGCTATTGTTTCTTGTGTTGTTCAGCATTATCAAAAAAACGTGGATGGACTTGTTGCAAGACTTGGAAAACCCTTGGTGAAGAAAGACGGAAAATACGACTTCATTGTTGACCTACAGTCTTTTAAGAAAGGTTTGAAAAACTTATCCCTTCTTTAGAACTCTTTAGTGGGAGGCGCGGTGGCCTCATAGTTTGTGCGCTCGTCGCCGGATCGAGCGGTCCGGGTTCGAACCCTGGCCTGAGACATTGTGTTGTGTTCTTGCGCAAGATACTTTACTCTCACAGTGCCTCTCTCCACCCAGGTGTATAAATGGGTACCGGCGAACTTAATGCTGGGGGTAACCCTGCGATTGACTGGCATCCCATTCGTTTGAACGTTTCGTNACAGTGCCTCTCTCCACCCAGGTGTATAAATGGGTACCGGCGAACTTAATGCTGGGGGTAACCCTGCGATTGACTGGCATGCCATGCAGGGGGGAGTAGAGTTATTCCTAGTCGCTTCATTCTACACAGCCCGGGATAAGCTCTGGCCTGATGGACCACTTAGCTCGTATGCAGACTTTACCTAACCTATAACTCTTTATAGGGTATTTAGTTGTCACCGTGATTTCCATCTCATGGCCAGAAATTATAGAAAATTATGTTTGTGTTAGTGTAACACAAAAACATTACAAAATTTAAATTTTCTTCAGACTCAAACTTACCAAATAATCCTTTAATGCTCTCCTTTTCATGTTGTCTTGCACATTGGTCTACTACACATAAATTTAGTTTCCTGGTGACAATTGCTTCTTTTTAATGATGAATAAAGTATATTTATTTACCTAGAATTATTGTGCCTACATAGCTGACAGTGCAATAGCAGAGTGCAGCCTATTGAGTGCAACAACTTCTCTTTCAGTTCCCACCAGAAAAAAAAGTATAGTTACGGATGAGCGGCTCGAAGTCATTGTAAAAAGTAACTGTTCTGTAGGTGTCAGCTATTGAGTTCCAGGATTTGTAGGCGAGACGACGAAAAGGATTTAGTCCATATGAAGTTGTAGATGGCTTAGGAAAAGTTAGAATGTTTCTACCTCATAAGGAATACGCAACGGATCGTAAAGTAAACATTTTCATTTATGTAGTATAGGTTTTAAAACGAAGACAGCCAAAAATGGTAAGTAACATGTTTAGGGGGCGTCTTTTTTCAATCTCGACCCACAGGTTACCCGTATTAGATAATCTGTTTATAGGCTTTCGGCATTTCTGGTTGATCTTTCAGAGGGTTGGACCATACCACACAATGAACTACATCTTCGTAGGTACATCGGAAAAGGACTCTTTGGAGGTAAGAAAAACTCCGCTCCGCGGAGACAGTATAACTCGTGTGTGATGCCCGGGAATCTGAAGGTAAAATTATTTATTATATAGACACGAGTGTTTTTTACTGGAAAATACACCACTCTTAAAATTCATACGAAACAACATCCGGGACTCGAGTGGCATATTTTCCATATCCTCACTAGTGAAGATATCGATGATTTCACTGATATCAAGTTTCTGTCTTAAATTGTACTTAAATTCGTTGGTGTATCATCAAAACATCTTCAAGTCTTCGGCAATCTTCGGAAATTTTCGGAAAATGTTTGGTAACGTTCGTGTGACCTTCGGACAAGTTTGGAGAATCTTCGGATATCTTCGGAAAACGGTCGGAAATCTTCGGAAAATCGTCAAAAACGCCGTCTTCAGTATGTCTATATCTCGTGGCAAGAACAATATCTCACCAGTGAGCTGCGCTCACTCGTGAGATATTTTTCTTGCCACTCGAATATAAAATTCATATCTTCTCGCCAACGTGTGATGTCCTCTCTATCTTCACGTTCACTTCGTTGCATTCCTGTGTAAGGATTCTGCGCACGCCTAATGTAAGATTCCCCGTGAAAGGTGGTTCTGGCAACTCGCGGGTTAATTACATTTTGGCTGCGGCGTTTTTGGCCATTGATTTTGGAAAGACAAGTTTCAGCCACGCTGTACAGATTCAAGACACTTTCGTTTTTACGGAGACTGGCATGTAGACCTTGGAGATTCCAGCATCTGGAGCAGGCTGATTTTAGCGTTTTGTTTTGTTATTGTCTGAGCCCACGGTTCACACATCTTGCTCGCTCATTTGACAACAAATGACAGACGTTGAAACGTTGAAGTGACGGGTTTCAGTCACGCAGAAAAATCTAAGGATAGCTATGAGCCGATTAAAAATTACCTCTAATGTGCATTTTCTGCGAATTAGTCGTATGCTAATTGAGCAAAAATGTAATGAAGGATGTCAGCAACTACATTTGTATCGCTCTATATGTTTTCATTTCGATTATTTCCTCCGTGAAAAATTGAAAAGTATGATTCATTCCTTAGATGAAGCTGAATACAATGGTAGAAAGGTGTTTATCAAGACACGACTATGGCAATCTGCTCAGACATTCCTAACAGAAGCCGCAATAATGACGTATGTTTGAATCTTAGATACTGTACATGGAAATTAGAGTCCTTAAACTGTATAGGCCCACGTTAGTGAGCCACTTAGCAATTTTATTTAAGGTGGCTCAAAACAGTTTCCTGCTCTTTCCAAGACTTTTGATGGGTCATTATAACCACTCTTTATCAGTTGATACTACAATCATGGTATCGAAAAACTGCCTAATCACTGGTGAACATGTTGTTATCATTTTCGTGACACAATAGGTTACCAAAGCAAAAGTATGACTTCTAAAAAAATCCACAGGGGACCCGAACACTGTATCAGTAGTAACTTAATCATTTACATGCATGTAAAATAAATGTAGTGTTGTTTACCTGTGTTCCTGGGTCTTTTTCAGCCCTTTTGATGGGATCTGACTAGAAGCGAAGGCGGTTTACATTTCAAATATCATCTTGTCTGCCGCTTTGTAAATGTGACGCTCCGATTACGTCTCGAATTTTCATTATATGATGATCCAGTTACTTGTAACCAGTGCACAACAAGAATATTAATAATTGACTTTGCCATCTTCAAAGGATACATCTTTTGTTGTAGTCAATGTCTTATTTTGATTTACAGGAATTTAAACCATACCAACATTGTGAAATTACTTGGTGTGTCATTGGACAGAAATCCTTTTTACATCGTGACAGAATTTTGTACACAAGTAAGTCATTGTTCTGGCTCAAGTCAGTTATCTAGGAGGGGTTTTCAATTGAGTGTTGTTAAACCAAAACCCAAATTATCACTCTGGTCAGTCAAAAAGAACTCTGACAATTCATTGAAACAGTCAAAACTCGATGCAATTACACTCACCTGGCGCGAAGCTCGGAAAAACATTTGCTTGCAAGTCGCGATTAGTTTTGGTCTAACTTCTGATTGGTCGAGAAAGTGTCGTGAGTTCACTTTTAAACCAATCACTAAACGTGGAAATGTAAATCAAACGCAGATGAGAATTACATTCGATACTCATGTGAAAGCCGCTCCTGAACAGCCGTTCTGAATGTAAATTTATCAAACACGAGAGACCGTGGGTTACCACATTCCCAAACACCGAGAGGAGAGTTGAAAGTACGACGCGTAGTGAAGTATTTTTGGACGAAAATTCGAAAAGTTTGGATATTTGGTCGAACAGTGTTTTGAGTATTTGATATGTCCTCTCAATCGAAACTAAAACTAAGGCGAGAATAGAGAAATGAAATCGTAAAAATCTATGCTAATTAAGATCATATATGCAAACTCCGTCATGTTCACGATTTCCTTTGTTTAAATTTAAATAAGTTATTAATGAGTTTGAGAAGAGTTATTACAAAAACGAGTCGAAAGTTATTCCTCTTGTTAAGTGAAGATGTAATTTTTTGTTGTATTTAAGCTTAGAAACAATAAAACGATGTTATCAAATGGCTCTCTTCTGTATCAAAATTACAGAATACTTAGTCTGTATGAAAAATGCGGAACTGTTATGTGGTTTACAGCAACTTTATGTGACTCGAGTAGTGCCTCTTCATTGGATCCAGGCCTTTTGAATTATTCATGAATTTTACCATCTCACTTTTTAATATTTTGATTCAATTGTATGCAAACCTATATACAGAATAGGAGGCTGGGTGTATTGTATTCGTGCCCTTTTGAATGCAAAAGTACGCGAATTCTGGATAAGATTCGTGAAATGTCGAGATGCCGTTGTTTTTCAGTTATTTTGACGAGACAGCCTATTTTAGCTGATGAAAACCGAGCAAGGTGTTTAAAATAGATAAAAACTTTTAACCGACAATAAAATACTGATAGCTACATATACTGCCATTCTCAGTTGTTGTTTATCATTTGAAAGAGTTGCTGTGCTGTTTTTAATTCCGTCACAACAACACACGGATAACAAAATGTCCTGAGGTTACTTACAATAATTGCTTTAACATACTTGTGAACTTTATCTGTCTTTATGCTTAGGGTAGCTTACTGGAGTACCTCAAGACTAGAGGCCAAGCTGCAATTGAGCAAAAGGATCTTGTAGGATTTGCTAGGCAAGAATATGTTATACATACGTGCGAACTCTTGAAACGTCAACTGACGATTATGTTTTCTGTCTCCGTCAATCATCTTAGTGTTCCTCTGAGGAGACAGAGGTTCAATTCGATGGGTTCTTACTGAAAATAAATGTTACTACGCGTTGAGTGTTGTTAGGATGCAAAAAAAAAACAACTTTTAACTATGAAAAACTTTTAACTACGCTAGGTCACGAGTACTGCCTTATGTATACTGTATCTTTCACGATACTTTTAAGTTTGAAAACAAACTTAGTGATCGAATGATAAAACAATGATTGGACGAGTTTGAGCTGAATATCGTGATTTGTCAGTTGCGAGTAGATCAATTATTTGCCGAAGCCGAAAGCTAAGGCAAATAATTGATATGCTCGCCTCTGGCAAATCAATATATTTTGTGATAACTGAGTTCAATGATTGTTTTAAACGAAGCGACCTACCATTTTTCACATAAGAGCGTGGTTACAATTACGCATGAGCAGAATATTATTTGCAACAAAAACACATTTAGACGGTATTGTGCATGGGCAGACCATTATTTGTAGGCAGCTACCTGCAGGTCACGTGGTGGGCTCTCGGCCAATGGAAAGGAAGACAAAATGCATGGAATGATAAATTAATTTACTTACCAACTCTTCTGTGTTTTACAGGGATATAGCTCTTGGTATGCGTTATCTGCACTCGAAGAATTTGGAGCATAGGTGATAACATCGAACTTTAAATCTCGTCAACGAATGTAGATTTTTTGTGTGTAAATGGTTGACATTTTTTTTTCATATAAATGTGTGCCTGATGAATCGCATGACGGTTTTTAGTCGCCTTGGTGTTTTCCTGAACATCGGTAGATACCAACTGATTTTCGAATGTTAAATGAATGGCTCAATGAGATGCATTCTTGGGAACTCCAAAACCCCAAAAGTCGAAGGCAAAATCCCATCTTTGCGAATCGGCTGAGTGCGCAGTTTTCTTCCCTTTCAAAGCAGAAATCCTCATTGCGCTAGTGTTATTGCAGCATGGTGACTGGACTGTCTTTGTTTTAGTTCCCCAAATTGGGGCTGCTTTCACATTATACTGAAATTAACTTGCTATGCGATTTTATTTCAGGGATTTGACAACAAGGAATGTTCTAATACATGAAAATGGAACGGCAAAAGTATGTTATGTGTTTAAAGCGTTCAACCATATCCTTGAGCAAGATTTCTTGTTTTAATGCAAATTAAAATATTATCTTGTATCACTAACACTATCAACACCAACTCTTTGAACAATTGTTCATGCCTTAGTGATGTCTTATAACTAGAGATTTCCGTTTTCGGTCTTATCTTGCATTGTTGTAAAAGAAATTAGGTTCAGAGCCTTCTTCACCAAAAACGTTCTTCATTGGGGTCTACTATATGGCAATTATGCAGCGTCTTTGTTCACACAAGAATGTAATTATTTTGATTCATACTAAGAAGTTTCTTTTCATGGCAGGTGTCAAATTTTGGACAGGCACGAAAAGCTAACTTTGACCGTGTGGAAGTGCTCCCTTTGAAACTCGAGGTATGGTTTAGCTTGAACTAAAACATTTAAACACATGCACGAGGGCTAAGTTTCCAATTTTGTGATGCTGATAATAAAGGTTTGCTCCATTCTCTATAAAAGACAATGAATCAGACACACAACGTGTCTCTGTTAAACAGGGGAACTGACTGCTGTGCTGGACAAAGAACTGCTGTACAGAAGCCGGTAATTGATACGAACATGGTCACTAAACCAATATTAACTATAGTGTTTGTAAAAGAGCGCTATCGCGTGAGTCATACAATGAGAAGTCCAGATCATAAGCACGTGTCTGCTGATCGTCAGGAAAAACCTCCCTTCCTGGAGGTAACCTGAACCTAACCGAATGCAGAGCCAGGCACGTGACACGAACCTCGAAGGAGGTAGGTAGGTTACAAAATCGAGGACTGTAAGATGACAATAAATCGTATTAACTTTGAAAAACCCCAAAACTCTCAAACACAATACTGCGAATGTTTTTTCTTCCACCTCAGTTCACATACATGGCTTGGTTCATCCAGTCATTCTGCCGTGTTCGTCACTTCAAGTTTTGTAAATACACTTGCAATTGACTAGCTCATAGTGACTTGATATAGATTAGTGGTGGAGCGTTTACACTGGCCATTGTACCATTTGTTAAGAAAACAAGAACGGTTGGACAATGCAAAAGGGGATTGATTACTGTTGATTTATGGTGCCTGGGGAGTTAACACACTTCAGAGTCTAGAGCAAACATAATTTCTTTATTGGTTTCCGTTAATTTTCCAACATTTTCTATATAGTCCGATGTGTGGAGTTACGGGATATTATTATGGGAAATGTTCTCATTTGGTGAAACGCCAGGCTCCGGTGTTTTGGTAAGTATTATTGAACTTAAGTCTTGTCTTGTGAAATTAAATAATTAGGTAAGGGTTATTATGTCACTTTGTCACCAAGTAAAGTATGATAAAAGAATGAAAGAAAAGAAGTGTTTACGAGTCAGTGATAAAAGTTACTGGGTAATAAAGGAAAAAAAAATCCACGGAGTTATACTATGCCTAATTTTTATGATGTTGCTGTCGAGTTTGTAAGCTTTTTCTGAAGTGTAAAGTATTGGAGCGACCTGCCAAGCGCTTTAACGGTTCTCTTTAATTGGCCAAATAAAACAGTAAGCAAACAACACAGACAATGCCCCTAGTCCTAAGAACAAAAGAGGGGCAGATTAGCAAGAAGGAATCAAAATAGAGGTTTTAAAGAGGTGTAAGTCAACTCAAAAGTTGTAAATTGCAAATTGTACTGTACACAGGTAATCTAAGGTGTCACTGGAATACTTTGAAGTTTATTCCTACCACTTATTTGTTTTCAGAATCTAAATGCATTTCCTCTTGAATGTCCTGATGGATGCCCCAAACAAATTTACGATGTGATGAGAGACTGTTGGCAAACTGACCCAAAGCAGCGGACAAAATTCCTGACAATATGCGAAACTCTTAGTGAAATTTACAAATCATTTCAACCTGTTGGTAACTGACTTAACGTGTAATTTCCCTTACTACTCAAACCATGCCACTTCACGATTTCCTGAGCTTAACTTGTTTTATTTTAGTGCTCGATTCTCACCTCAAAGCAATTAATTTTTGTTGGAGATAAGTTTAACTTTTTTTCATTTGCAAATGTTGTGTTTGTGTCTGTTTTCGTTTTCCTCTGCAGAAATCCTTTCCTAAAATATTAAGGTTTCTTCAAAAATTCCTTCTGATACAAGTTGTTAATCGAGCAATATAATCAAAGGTTTTGTATAATGGTGCATTCATACAATGACCTTTTCTTCCACAGTAGTACCTCCAGAGATTCTTGCACGAGGATCTTTGGCTTTGGAAGCCTACAACAAGGCCCTTGCTGAGGGGAAGACGTTCGACAAGAGGGTGCCAATCATGTTGATTGGACAGGATCGTTCAGGAAAGACTAGTTTAAAGAACTCACTTAGGGGAACACCTTTCAACTCAGATGAAGACAGCACAGTGGGGATCGATGTTGATCCTTCTCATTTCAAAGTTTCAACTGAAATCTGGAAAGCGGGGGAGAAGGACCAAGGAACGAATTCTGAGGAATCTATTTCCTATGAACACCACGCAGCCCGATTGATCGTCGAACATTTAAGGCAAAAGGAAAGCATGTTTAAGGAAAGGGATCCAGAATTCATACAGGATTTCTCATCAGATGTGGTACCTATTGAAAGTAGCGAGGATTCTACTAAAAGAGATGCAAATGACTCAATTATGGCTTCATCCACTTCAGTTCAGGCTACTGCTGGTAATCTCTATGATGATAAAGTATCTGAAGTGTCAAAAGACTCCCGATCTACTGACACTTCCCATTTTGAGATATTCAGCGATCGAAAGCCCAGCAGTGACAACATAACTGGCATGCCAGACGATATAGCAAGTTTGATTGAAATGTTGCTGCGAGAAGTTGATAAGGAGGAAGATAAAGAAGACCTATATTCAGTGTTGTGGGATTTTGGTGGACAATCGGTATACTATGCAACGCATCCACTCTTTCTTACTCCAAGAGCGATCTATCTATTAGTTAATGACCTCAGCCGAAATCCACATGAAAGAGCCAAATCAGTTATGAAGCAAGGAATGTTTACAAAATTTGAGGACAGCTTTGATTTCAGAACCAATTTGGATTATCTTCAGTTCTGGATGTCGTCTGTTGCTTCCCTAGCCATTGACGATATAGCTGACCAACAAGGTCCCAAATCTGAAATGTTGCCAGACAGGCTTCCCCCAGTATTCTTAGTGTGCACTCATGCTGACATACCCTATGATGGTGGTGATCCTACTACACTTGCCAATGAGATATTTGGTTCTCTACAGACCAAACCATACGAAACCCACTTACATCACGAAGTCTTTGTTGTGGATAACACCAAGTCTGGGAATGAATCCGAATGTCCAGAAGTCGTGCGCTTGCGTAAGGACGTTCTTGACGTTGCTAAGGAACTCCCACAGATGAAAGAAGCCATTCCAATCAAGTGGTTAAGATATGAGAGGGCACTTCAAGTCATGAAAGAAGATGGCCACAAATGCATTCCTCTTGACCGCGCAAAACAAGTTGCATCTGAAGTATGTAATATCGTTGACGATGATCAGTTCCATACCCTGCTGAATTTTCTGCATGACAAGAGAATTCTGATTCACTTTGCTGACACTCCAGAACTGAACAGATTGGTGGTCTTGGACCCTCAGTGGTTGATTGACGTGTTCAAGGAAGTAATAACAATTAGGCCCTATCACGGAAAAGAGAAGGAATTTAAAAAACTGTGGTGCAAGCTTGAGAAAGAAGGGATCCTGGAGGAAAAACTATTAGACCATGTTTGGGCACCTTTATTTGACAGCAAAGAAACCCCTGAGAGTCTCATTGCAATCATGGAGAAGTTCAGCTTGCTTTGTCCTTTGCCTTCTTCTGACGAGTCATGTAATAAGCACTACCTGGTTCCATCAATGTTGATGTCTCATCCTCCTGAGGGTATCGTAGAGCTGGTTAAATCGGCACAAATACCCTCTCTTTTTCTCAAATTTGAATCTGGTCATGTTCCGCCTGGCTTGTTTCCCCGACTGGTGCTGCAGTTCTTTCAGTGGGCCGAAGACGAAAGTATGAGGCCAGTGGACCCTCAATTGCATCACAATTTCGCGAGATTTTACACCTCTGAAGACGAAAACTGCTCTGTAGTGCTCTTGTGCCATTCGTTTTCCATTGAAGTGGTTGTTCACAAAGGAAATTCAAGTAATGATTTGCCAGACATTCTACAATCAAAGCTTTCTTTGTCTGCAGATGCCAGCTGCGACACCTGTGCTCGTGCAGTGCGTAGGCAGCTTGGATTGATACTCGAGTCCATGCGCAAGGAATTCTGTTGGTTAAAGAATCTGAAGTATGAAGTCAGTTTCATCTGTCCAGTCTGTTGTCAAGGAAGTTCAGTTAACTACTGTCGCACACATCGTGCTGAAGGATGCGAGCAAGAGGAGTGTCTACACTTCTGGTCTGAGTCTCAGCTAATCGATGTCAAGCCTCCGTCTTGCTCCAAGTCTGCTGTTGCACAGAACAAGAGATTTCAGACCGAGAAGTTTGCACCATGGTTGTTGCCTCAAAGGAATCAGGTAAGTAATGAAAAGATTCGCTGGATGCGACTTCAGTAAAGTTGTCGGGAAATGACGTTTACAATATGGCAGTAGAGGAACACCACAGGACATAAAGCCAAACATAAAACGCTTTTGCCAGTGGCGTACTGACAGTTATTTTTTCAGAAAAAAAACGTGTAATCGTTTTCAAGAAACTCTAGGAAAGAGAGAGTTTGTATTATTTATAATCATGAAATTAGGAATTGGCGTACACCTGGATAAAGTAGTTGTGGGTACATGCCAATGGTAACATTCAAGAACTTTTGCTTGAATGAAATCGTTATGAACATTGGCCATGTAAAACAGTCTATGTTGGGTATGAAGCTCAATGATTTAATTGTGCTGTAGAATGTTGAGTAAGATAGAGCAATGGAAATTTAGGCCAGGAACATTAGAAAGTTCACATTGTTTTTGGCGTAATACCATGGTGACCGAAGATGTTCTCTTTTTTGTAACCTATAGCTTAAAGCTGATGAACTCGATGGGATAAATTTGGCGGAAGGTAACAATTATATATTTTTTCGTTTATTTGGTTATTTCTAGCAGGAGACACTGAAGTTAGCTGGCACATTTATCTGTTTACCGGGTTTAACCGGACGCGGGTCATGTGAACCACGTTTTTCGTTCATTGTAACACTTCGCGACTAGCGGCTGGCTAGTAAACGTTGTTAATTCTTTGTTTGAAAGTATTTTGTAAATCTTAATCAACTAGTTTTTGAAAGGAAGCGTTAAAAAGTAGAGTCTTATCGTATGGAGAAACTGTGCAGTCTGGTGGACAACGCTTCTCCTCTTCAAACACTTTACCTGATTTTTCTATTATTTTTACCAACTAAAGAAATCAGTCTTCCTGATGAAGTTCAAGAATCCCTTCACTCACAGTCTTGTGATGCCAGAGAGGTTGTAATTCAACTGCAGCTGAAGCAAGCTTCGTCTCTGGAAGAGCTAGACTCTACGACCAAGGCATTGATCCGTTGCTTGGCAAAGAAATCTAAAGACTCCAACAGGCTTGATGTGTTCGAGTATTTGAGAGAGATTACACCAGCTGGAACTACTGGTGAGTTTGTCATTAAGCCAGGTTAATTTATTGTAATCACGAGCTCCGCTTTTTGGCGTGGCTAAATTTAGATATTACAATGTAGTTGTTTTGTTTACTTACTGGTTTACTAGGCCGCGCTTAAGAGAGATATATAGAAACGGGAGAAATAGTAAAAAAGGGAGCTAGATCTAAGAAGGGGAGTTCCAATATATTGCAAGTCTTTAATGACAAATTGCATTTTTATTTTCTAAGGTACTGATTAGTTGCCTGGCCAGTTTTGGTTTTGCTATCAGCCGTATTGGTAGCATTCATCACTGAGATGCGGTGCGAATCGGAGCTTCGATCACGTGTTTTTATTGCAGATCAGGACCCTGTTGCCACCCGTTTAGACGTGGGAGAGAGAGTCGTCGTTCCTTCTTCGTCTCCAACCTCACATTTGTTTTTTCCTAGGGCCTCTGCTACCTGAAAGCCTTGATGTTAGAAATATTCCTGTTTTAAAGTCAAGAGAACTTACAATGGACTTGAGTGGTGAGTGTTGTGTACGTGTAATAAGTGTGTGATAGCAACATGACCAAGAGTTATGCAAGGTGAGAGCTAACTCTTGTAAGATCATTTATTGTGAATCTACAGGTGGAACATATTTCACATCTTGTTTCGTCCCACAAGAAGATATGCGATCATTAAAAATTGAAAATTAAAGCCTAATGAACGTTCAAACAAAATTGTTTATCTTCCATGTTTCGAATCTTTCTTGAATGTGACTTGTGCAACTTGTTGAAGACGAGGCAGTTTGTATTTCTGTAAAACTGTTACCAAACAGGATCGTAATGAAGAACGACTATCAATCGAGTAGATAGTTTAGCATCGACAATGTATTAAATATCGAGAATGCATTTCTTAAAATATTTGTATTTCTCTGAGTTTTAGGTGGAAGTGAGTGGAAGGAGATTGCTGAGGCATTAGGCTTGACTCCACGAGAGATTCGTTTCCTTGACAACCGTACTTTGAACCCATTTGACGCTGCACTCGCCTTCATTGCTAGCCAGCGCTGTATAACTGTGGGTGAGCTGTACGACTTGCTAAACGAACGTGGGTTTCCTGTGATAGCTGACCTCCTGTAATCGAATAAACAATTTATAGATTGTTTCCGCATTTATTCTTGGAGTGCTCTATGCATAAATATGCAGAGCAAAGAAAAAAAAAAAACATTAATTAAACATAAGCATGTGTTAAAACTATTAGTAGACATGTTAAAACGTATCTGAAATACCCGGTGTAAACTGCCGCTTGTAATCCCTGGGCTTATACAACTTCGTAAGGGTTTTTAGATGGGCTTATAAACGGAGGGGCTTATATCCGAGGGGGGCTTACAACCGGAATAAAAAAAACCGTTTCGAATTGAGCTAAAGCAGTCAAAGCAGTGTTGATCGAAATACGTTTTTCAGAGGGGGGCTTGTATCCGGGGGAGCTTATAATCGGAAGTAACATTTTGTTTACAGGTGGATATGCCTATAACCGTTGGAGCTTGTAAGCGGGAGGGCTTACAAGCAGCAGCTTACGGGAGCCTTAAAAGAGACAAAACTCACGTTAGTTTTATGAAGACTTGATTGATCGTCGCTGTTATATCCACAGCTTAAGCAGCGGTGAAATCAAAGCCTGAGAAAAAAATTCAGTCATGAACGGGATTCAAGCCCTCTGCGATATCGGTGCAGTGCACGTTTTAGTAGCTATTAGTTAGAAATTTACTCAAATTAAAGAAGTTTTTAGGGAATTCATGTTAAAGTAGACTCGAGCACATTTGTAAATGATCTGAATCTTCATTAGTTCCAGTGAATATTAGAGGACTGACGCCCCGCGTTCTCACACCGTAATTAAACTAACCAGGACGGATCAAGGATGTTGTAGAGCACACGTGACTGGCGCTAAGCGCGGGAAAGCGCGCGTGACCAACTTGCTTTTAGATTTGGTTTTGCATCTGATTGGTTAGATGGGTGGTGCGAGCTTTTTTAATCAATCAGAGCGTAGCAAAGCAAAACCCTGGCACTCGATTGAAAGTTGCTCTAAAATAAACAGTGCTTTGGCATAAATACAAATTTCGTGTGGGAATGGAGTGATGTTTTACTATGGTACGTCCACAAGTATACGGCTACGTCTCTTAACACATATGTAAACCGGTCTCACCTCCGTCTACACGTAATCGACAGACGACAATGGTATGAAACGCATATTCATGTGAACGCTTTCTGAAAAGGTTTTGAAATTTGTAAACGATAGACTGTGTAGCAAGCGTTCCTGTACATGCAAAGAGTTTCTCGACTGCTGGTCCGCAAAAACTGGAACGAAAATGAAAAAAAAAAGAAAAAAAAATCGAAAACGAAAACTTCGTCGTGGTCACTGGCGTGCGAAAGCGGAGATGGGTGTTGTGCGGCAGTTATTTCGTGCGGGAACGCTTGGTGCGGAGGCTACGTAAGCTAGCAGAGACATTTCTGTTCACGTTTTCTCGTAGACAGTATAAACGTTTACGTTTGTAATTACTTTTTTCACATGAACTGAAGTCATTTACAGATGTCCAGTGCCAGCCTCGTCCCTAGGCGTCCCCGTTTGATAAATATTTGAGGAGGGTCCGGATGAAGTTTCGCTGATAATTGAGACTTGGTCAAAATGTTTACTGTCAGCTGAGAAATGAATGTTTTTCAACTGATAGCTGAGATGCGAGATCTGATAAATTTACTGATAGCTGAGAAATGGGCCGAAAATTAAGCTGATAGCTGAAGTTTTAACAAACCCATCAAGACCCTCTAGTTTTCGTGTGGACTGGCGTAAACGAACACAACAATTATGTCTCAACAGACAGTATATACGTTTACAGACGTAAACATTTACGTGTAAGAATAGCCTAACAGAAAAAATACATGTTTCAATATAAATGGTAAATTTATATGGTTGAATATTTTGAAATAATGATACTATTTTTCTACTCTTTGTTAATTTATTGTGTTTCTAGGTTTTTACACCGTCTATTTGCATATAGCTAATGTTTACTAGTAGCTAGAGGTGATCATTACAGCCGACGACACCAACCAAGGCCACCAACAAAGTTCTGTGTTAATATGGTGAATGAAAATTGTGGACATTTACAACAGTTTTCATGATCAAATTTAGGGACGCTTTTTGCCTTCGAAAGGAGAGGGCCTGGATGGAGTTAACTGACAACTAACGACTGTTGTTTTTGACATAATAGGTATATTCTAATTTAAGTAATGAGGTGGTTTAGAAAGTTGAAAGCCGCAGCAGAGAAGATTGAGAGTTGGAACTGCCATTGTCGTCCGCTACTCCTCTATTATAGCTTATTTCGAAACGTGTTCTGTGCCGCAGCTGACTGTTACATTTGTGGCGTAATGACTCGGCAGGAATATTTGAAAACAAATATACTAGCCTCAGGAGATAAAATACGAAAATAAAACAAATTTAGATCGTCTCAAATAATCTCAAAGACACAAAGAAACTTTCTAAACAGAGTATTTTTTGCTAGTTTTTGATGAAAGGCCGAATTTGCTAAAGCAAAGACATGCAAAAATTAAGGGAAGATATCTTACTCGACATTTTCGTCTCGTCACAACTTCATCATCAAGAATAAATAAAGCATAACAAAGCGAATATTTAAGTAGGCTAGTGATGAAATTTACATACTAAATAGATGGCTAAACAAACACTTTAGGCGAATTTAGTTAGTTTGCACGTTCAGTTCTGGTTTGAGTTTGCGTTTACGTTTGAGTAGGCAATAAATTTCCCGAACAGTCTTGTTCTTTTGTTTCTGCGAGTTCCGATTCCTAGCGTGCGAAGAGCGATCGAGCGGCGAGAAGCGCGGCTGTCCCTTCTCGTTTCTTTTCCTAATTTGCGTAAACCGCACACGGAGGATTTAAGGAACAAAAACCGACTACCCGTAGTCTAGTACATTTCGCAAATGCGTGAAACTGTTCTAAAAGACGCTGTGGTATCCAGCAGACTTGGCAATCTAAGTTTAAAAATGAGAACCGCCCTCCAACCTGTATTTTTAGTCGAAGCTCCGTGGAGATCTCAAGGTGCAAGAAGCTATAGTACCAACCATGCGTATTGAATAAGTTTAAATGTATGTACATGTACGAGCACGTAATCTTTTAAAACAGTTTCACACGCTTGCGAAATATATCAGCCACTTTGAATTTTTCCGTACGCTCCTTGGCCACAAAAACAAAACAAAACATTTTCTACATCATCTCAGATCAACATCATTTTAGCCTCAAACATAACACTGCTATAGACTCAAATTTCAGTCCTTTAATACAATCGTACCACTTCTCTCCTTGCTATCCACCCCAGTGTGACCTTTATTCTTTTGGCGTCTAGTTGAGTGGTTTACTTTGCACTTTCTTTTCTTCCAGTTGACACATCCAAGAGGTGTTCTAGCAACATTTCAACAACATATTCTTTAGTTTAGAGCGTTTCCTTTGCAAGTTCAAGTTTTTCCTTTGCATGTCCCAATTTCCCAACCCCTCCGGGATGTGATTTCTCTCAAACCCCCTTCATTTCCCAACTAATCCCAACCTTTGCCCGGGGTGGGGGAGGGGGGTGGGGAAGGGGAGTGGGGTTTTACATTGACTTCTGTATTAGCCCGCGAACAAGTCTGGAACAAGAGAGAGTACAAGCAGGCTTAATTTCATTCCTTAATGAAATATATTATTGTCTATCCCCAGCGTAGATGACCCCTTCCCTCGTATAGTTGTAGCTTAAAAATGACGCTTTTCTTGTAGTTTTGTTGTTTGAGAGCTGATGGATGTTATTGACAGTCGTAAGAGGTCATTTCGTGACGTTATGCGATGCGATGCGTGACATAACTTTTTCCCAAAAGCCTCGGCTTCTTTGTTTGTCAAAGGAATACGCACTCACTCACGACATGCAGAAGGAGCCAACGAGGGGCTGCGCGATTTAGATGTAGTTTTGAATTTTTTCAGGGTTAAGACTGCAGTTCTTGCATCTACGTGGATGATAAGGCCGTCGCTCACAACCTTGTAGAGTTTCAGATCTTCGAACGTGAGGAAAGTTTGGTACAGTGTTGAATAGTCATTCGAAGCTGCTTCCGCTTTTCCGAGAATTATTTAATGGTATGTATCTTATGAAGTCACTTTGCTGTCCAATGTGGGTCCCGTTACTTGCATCCTTCTTCTTACTTACTAACTTACTCTTTCCCTTCCACTCCTTGTGGAGTCTAAAACTTCAAAGTGTGGATAATTTGGTGTAATCAGTCAACTGTAACCTTATCGTAGAAGGGAAGAAGCAATGGTAAGTGTGAGAAATATCTTGATTTTAATTTGCTGTCGAGGTTGGGTCTTGTCGCTAGTCTACCGAGTACTGATACGCGTCGTTTTCTGTACAGTTTTATTTGGCTGTCTGCATAACCAAACAAAGTGAACAGACCTCGCAACGCCAGGTGGTTCTTCAACTCAGCTCAGCCATTTCACATTGTTGTGAACGCGCGCACTGGAGCGATGATCTACGTGCGCGAGGATCCACGAGCGAGAACACGCGCGCGGCGTAGATAAGTGGTCGTTGGCATAGAAAAAGATAGCTGCTTATCATGAATCGCATTTACGTGCCTGTCGATAACGACGAAATGAAGGATCGGATTTCCAACCCTTAATGCAAATTCAGGTCACGTTGCACAAAAAAACCCGTTCAAACCAGAAAAATATTAATTAAAAGTAATGCAAAACGGGAAGTCATTTTCTAGAGACAACAATTTTAATGAAAGTAAACACTGTCTTTTGTTGTGAGAAACAAACATCCTTCAACTTTCTTTCGTGTATGAAATCGAGGGCAAGTTTTTCTTTTATATATCTCTTTTATTCCCTATCTCCTGAAGTTTCAATTTGGGAGGAATAAGGGACTTGAGAGCGAGTAAAGAATAGATCGTTTTCACGTGACGTCATCACTTTCTAAAATCCAAAACTAAAGAGCCACCAAAGTTTTTATCCTCATCAGGCATAAGAGGCGGTATATTTGTATCTGTTTACAATTTTACAGCTCAATAGCGTGCTTCATTTGGAATCCAGAGTATTTTGAATTTCAGGGTTGTGGAGGTGCGTGACACAAGGCTATGATCGAGTTTTTCGAAAAATATATACTTATCTCATGATTTTGAGCCTTTTTAGAAGTTAGAGCATTAGGAAAAGTGCTTAAGTAAATGCTTGTTTGATCAGTAATGATAATCAGTCGCCTAGATAACCAAANCGGAGGTACACCAACATGGCGTTTTCATACTGGGCTCTGTAAATATCTGCGAAACATTTCGACGAATATCAGAAATTTGGGGAAATGCACAGGCCTAAAACTTGGAGAAGTGTCTTATTTAGCTATCTTCTATAACATCATAATTTCATAGCTTTTTCCAATGGATGGTTTTCGATTTATTTTTTTATTGCGTGACAGTGAAAACGATCTATAGGCGTAGAAAAGTTTGAAATTTGCCGCATTAACTATTTAACATTTTCGTCGGGATTTTCCTAGCAGTATTTCTGAGGTTAATGATAATGTTCACTTTGGTTTGTATATTCCAGTCTCATACATCCTAGCCTTCCTACGCAGACGCTTTTTGGGCTCGTCACGCAATCTTCTTCCCCCACGTGGGGGAAGGTGGAGGAGGACGATTGCGTGACGAGCCCAAAGAACGTTTGCCTAGGAGGCTACATACATCCTAACCTTTATAGAAATAATATAGCCAAACGTCAGAGAAAGCAGGCTACAAACCTGCCTTGAAACCTTTTGCAATATTTGTCCCAAGTGCTGTTGCCTGAAAATGTCACTATTTCCAAAACTGGGGGCGCTACAGCCAGGACCCCTCACCACCCCCAGCCTGTATGTCGTGTGTCTATGAGCGCACTAAATAAAGAGTTTCTATGGGTGTTTGTGGAAGTTTGTATGGATTTTCCTATGAAAAGCTACAATATGGGATCTTTTTTCTGTCTTTTTAGCAGTTCTGTGTGTCATTTGGGTGATTTTGATTGTAACTGTCTGACTCATATTTGTTTTCTATTTTTCTCGCTGCTCATAGCGTGATGTCGCGCCACATCGTCTCCGCGTTTTTGAATTGCGCTCCGCCCTATTTCCCGCTAAATACGTAAAGATAAGTTAAACGATTTGCATTAACCGTTAACGCCATGAATGTTTCATGCAATTTTGTAACCGGCTTTTTTTCCTGACCCCTTACTTTTAGGAGTGAAGATACTCGTATCAGATTTGACCAAGTGAGTTATCATGGCGTCCGCCACAGACGCAGAAGAAGCCTTACGTTTAACCAAAGAAAGAGAAAATCTTCAGCAGTTGATCAGACTTTTGATATATGGAGGTACCACGCTTTTACGAGAAAAGTTTGATTCTATTCACTCACCCTCTGATCTTCCATCAAAGCTAGGTGACCCTGCTATAAAAACCAAGCTGAGGAGAGCAGGACTTACTAACCTAGGGTGGAAATGCCTCTACCCTTCCCCAGATACGTTTGGCAAGTCCGCCGATTTCGATATCACTATGATGTTTAAATTATTCAGAACAATATGCAACTTAACAGAGCCTGCCACGAGATGGTATAATCTTCCAAACAGTACAGACCACAGCCTTGAAGCTGATTTAGTGCGGATAAAATACTACCGCAATTACATTTACGGGCACAACAGCAAAATGGAAATTATGGAATCTGAGTTCCGTAATCTTTGGAAGGAAATCAGTGAGGCTCTTTTACGAATTGCTGGATCTATTAATCAGGCAAAGAGAGATGAGTGGAATAAGGCCATTGATAAACTGCTTAATGATCCTGTAGTACCAGAGGCACATAGATACATAGAGGAACGGAACTTGTGGTACAAGAACGACAGGGAAATCAAAGGTTTAGTGAAGCAAAGACTTAATGAACAGCTTCGAGAAGTCAGCAGAGATCAGAACAGAGGTATGCGCTCCACTTTCCAGCAGCTTACCTAAAGTGGTAAGCGTTATGATTAGGTTAAACGGAATATCACAGGTTTCTGTGCCGTTAATCCGGATGACAATTTGAAATGCATTAATTATCCCTTAATTTAGTCTTACTTTGACTTCATCCACCATCATGGCATCCCTTTTAGTTTAAAATACTCAACTTCATCTTTCATGTGCAACGTCACTGGAGAGACCAGAAATTGTCACATTCTTCAAGTTTTTCATATAGCACCCTCGTTGATCCGACCTTTCCAAAGTTCGGATAATTGCCTGTCTTTTGACCACCACTGCCTCTTCCATAAAACACTATGGTCTGGTCTGAATATGTCAAAGGGAGTTTGCTTTTTGAGTCTGTGGATATAATTTGTCTTTGTTCATCAGTTTCAGATTATAGGACAACTGTCATTGTTTGGGTATTCTTCATATTTTTCCTTGTACCCCTGTCCAACCTTTCCGACGCTTGGGCAGTTACCTATCATCAGCGTTGCTCATCCCATAAAAAAAATATTGCCTGATCTGAATATCGGTTTGCTTTTTTGTTTAAAAGAGATTTCTGAACTGTGTGAACGAATGCTTGCCTACAAGATTGGAACGTACGAGGAGCTGGATGGCGAGATGGAAGGTTGTCGCCTAAATATCGCGCTCCTTGGTTTGAATGGCTCTGGGAAATCAGCTCTGATCAACAACATCTTCGAGTCATTGGGCATTGAGTCGGAGCCGGCTATAACTCAGAGCACTGGAAAGGAAAGTATGATGACCTTGGACGGTTATGCTGTTCCGGGAACCCAAATCACGCTTTACGACCCGCGTGGATTCTTCGAGTTAGACAGGACGGAACAAGGTAACTCCAATTATCTGAGAATTTCTATTAAGAAATTCCTCATTGATATAATGCCGTAAGTGGCGACACGTTTGCATGACATGCCGGGTAACTATATACATCTTATTAACCAAGCGCGAGGGCCATATTAGGAGAATATTGGCGCGAAGTTTTGACAGAATCGTAAAAAAACATGTCCCGATGAAGACCAACGTATCCCAACGTAAGGCTGAGCATTTTTTTTAAAATCCATTTTCACTTACACAATTTACAATTTACAAATACGGTCAGTTACACTACTTACAATACAATACAATACAATACAATACAATACAATACAATACAATACAATACAATACAATACAATACAATACGGCTACTTACACTACTCACAGAACTAATACATTTACTTATACCACTAACAATATAATACAGCTATGCTATGCTAAAACAGAACTTACTTACTCTATTTAATATATAGATTTAGCCGAGCCTAAAAGCGGAGCTCCTCAGTCACTTTTTGGAATGCTGTTACTAATGAAAATGATCGAACATATATGTGAGGTAAATTGTAAACTATTTAATAGTTTCAGCCTGAAATAGGATCACATCAGCAGATCGAGGTGTAAGATGGTGTGATTATGAAATATAGAGCCATGATTTCAAGGATTTCTGAGAAGCCACTAAAAATCTTGATCACGTAACAGAACTGTCTTCTGTGCTTTTTGGTGGCATTTCCTGTTCTTTCCTACCTTATTCAGAAAACCAAGACATTGTTATTAATCATTATATTCTTTCTTAGTTAACATGGGGACTCCCACACAAAAGAAGTTTAA